ACGGGGATATTTTTTCAAGATAACTGAAGAGTAGTCACAACACTACGCCGCCAACTCTTGGGCTACTCTTTTACCAACGAATAATGGGATTGACCGTCACATTATAACGCCCCCACGGCTGAAAGGGCGAGCATGTTTGGTGGGACGGGGATATTTTTTCAAGATAACTGAAGAGTAGTCACAAAACCACACCAAATCTTATTCTCGTTTTTTTTGGATTAAAAAAAAAACATCAATAGGAAGGTTCTGTTTTAAAATATAATACAATTTCAACTCACACGAAAGTCATTATTTTTGTCTTCAAAGGCGCTATCTTTCAAGTTACTCAGATTTATCATGTTTACGATATATGTATTTTATAAATTAATGAAAGATTCTGCCTGTAATTTTCCTTGAATCGTATAGTTCATGCAGATGACATTGTTACATAATCATTGTACATTAAAAAGAAAACTGTACGCCTTTCAACGAGTATATTTGATCCGTGTTCTTCCTTAAGGGTTATTTATTAAGTATTGTTTTGAAAAGCAGACTAATTATTTTTTATGTGTCTCAATAATTATGACAACACGTCGCTACTTACTAAGTATAAAGTCCAATCATGCCACAAACAAAAAATCTATTTTAGTTATGCTACAGTGTCATTACGATTAAAATTTATGTTTTCTTTCTTACCTTCATTCTACCAGTACGTAAACAACGTGTTCAGTTGATCATTGAAATTGTTTGTTTATAATAAAGGAAGTAACCAATAAATAAGGCTTAAGGCTCTTTTATGATAGTATTATATCTCAAAAATATTTGGAATTTTTATCAAAGCATAATTGTTGAAACATTTTTCTCCAGGTTGGATATGACTCGCACCAGTCTATCAGGCCACCAGGATTCGGCTCAATAGCAGGAGGAAAACCGTACGTTAATCTTCTGCTTTAGCATACACTTTGGATTCCCTCCTCACATTACTGTATTCTTCTTACTTCAGTGTATATCCTTCTCATTTCATTTTATTCCATTCTTACTTCAGTGTATGTCATTCTTACTTCAGTGTATGCCATTCTTACTTCAGTGTATGTCATTTTTACTCCAGTTCATGTCATCCTTACTTCAGTTTACATCCTTCTTACTCTCGTGTATGTCATTCTTACTTGTTTTATGTCATTCTTACTTCAGTGTATGTCATTCTTACTTCAGTGTATATCCTTCTCATTTCATTTTATTCCATTCTTACTTCAGTTATGCCATCCTTACTCCAGTTCATGTCATCCTTACTTCAGTTTACACCCTTCTTACTTCCGTGTATGTCATCCTTACTCCAGTTCATGTCATGCTTACTTCAGTTTACATCCTTCTTACCTCCGTGTATGTCATCCATACTTCAGTTCCTGTCATCATTACATCAGTGTAGTCCTTCTCACTTCAGTTTATGTCATCTTGACTTCAGTGTGTCATCCTTACTACAGCGTATGTCATCATTACATCAGTGTAGTCCTTCTCACTTCAGTTTATGTCATCTTGACTTCAGTGTGTCATCCTTACTACAGCGTATGTCATCCTTAATTCAGTGTATTTCATCTTTACTTCAGTGTGTCATCCTTACTACAGCGTATGTCATCCTTAATTCAGTGTATTTCATCTTTACTTAAGTGTAGCTGATCCGTATTTGAGTTTATGTCATCCTTATTTCAGTTTAAATTCTTCTTACTTCAGTTTGCCTTTTGTACTTTGGGGTATACCCTTCTTATCATGTTGCTTATGACGTTTTCTTCATTACCTATCCTTTTTATTTAAGCATATATATTCCTCACTTCACTATATACTATTTACCTCAGCATATACTCTAATATCTTCACTCTGTTTTTTATATTCGATATGTTTACTGTCGTTATCATCTTCATTCTACATAACAGCTCATTAGATACAAGCCAGAGTTCTGAATCTACTGTTAAACTCTTCAAAGACGTTCAGTAGACGCAATCTAGGTTGTGAGTGTAACATTAACCTCTACAAAGACGTTCAGTAGACGCAATCTAGGTTGTGAGTGTAACATTAACCTCTACAAAGACGTTCAGTAGACACAATCTAGGTTGTGAGTGTAACATCAACCTCTACAAAGACGTTCAGTAGACACAATCTTAGGTTGCGAGTGTAGCATTAAACTCTACAAAGACGTTCAGTAGACACAATCTAGATTGTGAGTGTAACATCAACCTCTACAAAGACGTTCAGTAGACACAATCTAGGTTGTGAGTGTAACATTAAACTCTACAAAGACGTTCAGTAGACACAATCTAGGTTGTGAGTGTAACATTAACCTCTACAAAGACGTTCAGTAGACACAATCTAGGTTGTGAGTGTAACATTAACCTCTACAAAGACGTTCAGTAGACACAATCTAGGTTGTGAGTGTAACATTAAACTCTACAAAGACATTCAGTAGACACAATCTAGGTTGTGAGTGTAACATTAAACTAGAAATATGTTCACGTTTAGGTTTTAAGTGTCAAACAACGTTTGTAGATCAGTTATTACGTATTTTTGAGATGTTATCATATTTGCTGTTACATTTAACTTTTCACTCAATTTATAAAAACCGTCTCATTTATTGACACAGTTCAGGTTTAAATATTATAAAAACCATCTCATTTATTGACATAATTCAGGTTTAAATATTATAAAAACCATCTCATTTATTGACACAGTTCAGGTTTAAATATTATAAAAACCATCTCATTTATTGACACAATTCAGGTTTAAATATTATAAAAACCATCTCATTTATTGACACAATTCAGGTTTAAATATATATCACGAATTACCTTTCCTTGATTTCAAAGCCTGTCATGTACTGTAAAAAAAAACAACAAATCATGAATAAACGAATGCTTGTCTCTGAACACGGTACATGTAATTGTTCATAGTAAATCTAGCAAAATAAACCGCTTGTTCGAAAACAAAAACAGAATATGTAATTTTGTTTAGAGTAATGTTTCATTCTGTGATTTATATTAGAGACGTCTCAACCTCCAGCTGTAGATAAGATAGACTTGAAATAAATATTCAGAAGATCAGTATAACATTTTTAGATTCATAATGCCGAAACTGAAAACGAATGCAGCATTACTAACTCAGGCTACAGTGTTGTTGAAAAACTCGATGTTATGAAAAATGTATCACGACGCTACCAAACTACTAAAAGTTAGCATATCTAAAAATGTTTGCATTATTAATGTGCTTATGTTAGCTTGATCCGATAATGGTATTTGAGATAGATTTTTTTTATTCAAGATATACAGTCTCCTTGGTAAATATGCAAAAAGCAGAATATTATATTCATATGTTGTTCAGTACAAAAACGAAATATGAATATATATATATGTATAAACGATTTATTTCAAGCCACGAGGCTAGTTAACCTCCACGATATTATATAATTGATGAAATTAATAAATTATTAATATTAGTGAATACGTAATAAAGTTTAAGAATTGAATATTAGATATTCATCAAAACTTCTAATCGATTTAACCGTTTATTTTTTTTCCCCCTTCTAGTTGATTATTTAGTAAATATTTTTCTGTCGGTCATTTGTATTTAGATACTGTTTTGTATAATACAAGATTGTGAAATTAGATCACTCTTGGAAACGATACGAGACAATGAATCAGTTATACGAAATGCCCTACGTTTAAAAGAACTCTTAAATAAAGCAGGCTGAGAAGTTACAAGCATAGTGCAACATTTTTTAAATACAACTATAACACAAGTACTTAATTTACATAAACGACATAGACAGACCGGCTTCATATTAACTTTTAGGTTATTTTCAGAGCTTATTCTTTCCACGTCAGTGCAGAAGGGCAGATGCAGCCCGTTCCTTTCCCACCTGATGCTCTGATTGGTCCGGGAATTCCTCGACATGCCCGTCAAATTAATACACTCAGTCATGGGGAAGTTGTTTGTGCTGTTACCATAAGCAGTCCAACCAAATACGTCTACACTGGGGGAAAGGTAAGTACGTTAAATACATCTGTGTAAGTGGAGAAATTAGACTAAATACGTTTATGTTGTGGATGAAAGTTTATATTTTATTAAATATAAGTAGACTATGTTTGATTAAATATAAGTAGACTAAGTTTATGTTCGATTAAATATAAGTAGACAAAGTTTATGTTTGATTAAATATAAGTAGACTAAGTTTATGTTTGATTAATTGTAAGTAGACTAAGTTTATGTTCGATTAAATATAAGTAGACTAAGGTTATGTTCGATTAAATATAAGTAGACAAAGTTTATGTTTGATTAAATATAAGTAGACTAAGTTTATGTTTGATTAATTGTAAGTAGACTAAGTTTATGTTCGATTAAATATAAGTAGACTAAGTTTATGTTCGATTAAATATAAGTAGACAAAGTTTATGTTTGATTAAATGTAAGTAGACTAAGTTTATGTTTGATTAATTGTAAGTAGACTAAGTTTATATCTTATTAAATATAAGTAGACTAAGGTTATGTTCGATTAAATATAAGTACACTAAGGTTATGTTCGATTAAATATAAGTAGACTAAGGTTATGTTTGATTAAATGTAAGTAGACTAAGTTTATGTTCGATTAAATGTAAGTAGACTAAGTTTATGTTCGATTAAATATAAGTCCACTAAATACGTTTGTGAAGGCAGACTAGCTTTATATTGGACGAAATATAAACAACCTGAAAATGCCTATGTTAAAAAAATGGTAACTTCGTTTATACCAGCATATGGGGAAGTTAAGTGACATATACTGGAGAAAAAAGTAACTTCGTTTATATTGTAGGAAAATAAATCTGACCAAACTGTGAAAAAACAAAATTCACTCATGATAACATGCACATGCGTAATCCTTATAATCAGATAAATGTTTCTTTTATTATAGAGATTATGTTACATATAATGATTTAATTACAATACAAAGTTGTTTATGGTGTAAGTTTAGTAATACCTGGTTTTAAAGATTCATCTCCACGGCTTCAACATTGTAATTTTTCTGTAGTTTTTACGATAAGATTGATTGATTGTTAACATAATAAAATTAATGATTTCCTTTTTAAAATACTATGTTATTTTTCAGGGCTGTGTTAAGGTTTGGGATATTAGCCAACCCGCTAGTAAAACTCCTTATTCTCAGCTTGATTGTTTGGTAAGTATGAGTGTGATTTAGGCTTATCTTCCGTTTATGACGTTGTTGACAAATGATTTTCAGTAGCAGTAGAGGCAAATGGGAGAATATTTAAATGAGTTAATAACTTCCATATGAACATTTACACACGTACACGCTGTGTATATATATTTGAATGCACTGTATTAACTGAAAGATTGGCGTTGTTATCAAGTACATTAAAACAGGCCTTACTCGGCCTGGTGGTTAGGGATCTCCACTTGCAATCTGTTTCGTATTCTGTTACCGAACATGATCGTTCTTTCAGCCTTGGAGGCGTTATAAAGTACGGTTAATACCACTTTTCGTTGCTAAAGAGTAGCCCAAGAGTTAGTTGGTGGTGGTTGGAATTGACTATCTGTTTTATCTCTAGTCTATCACTATTAGGGATGATTAGCGCATGATTCAACAAAAACAAACAAACCATCAGAGCATGCCAAAAACAATAAAAACTCTCCATTTTTTTAAATATTTGTTTGCTTGGTTTCTGCTAAGCACAAAGCTACACAATGGGCTATCTAATCTGTGCCCACGAAACAATATCCATTTGCCAGTCAGGCTGTATCGTAAATTAAAGTGTTTTTTTTTTTGGTTTGAAAGATCTGAATCTACTTACGTAAAAAGTAATATAAATATTTGTGATTTTAAGTATATACAACTTATTACATGTCTCTTCTCAAGTACCTTCCCCGTCATCAGCCATCATGCCAACATACATAAGGAAATAGAAATTTTTTATTTGCCAAATTAAAAGATATTATTCTAGTTTATTTGTATTTTTTTGAATTTCGCACAAAGCTACACGAGGGTTATCTGCGCTAGCCGTTTCTAATTTAGCAGTGTAAGCCTAGAAGGAAGGAGCTAGTCATCACCACCCACCGCCACCTCTTGGGGTAATCTTTTACCAATGAATAGTGGGATTGACCGTCACATTGTAACGTCCCCACGGCTGAAAGGGCGAGCATGTTTGGTGAGACTGGGATTCAAACCCTCGACCCGCAGATTGCGAGTCGAGCGCCCTAACCACCTGGCCATGCCAGGTCTAATTCTAGAGCCGTAAAGCGTTTGTATAAAATTCATCCAATAAACATACAGTAAGTAAAACGAAGTGATTTTGAAGTGTCATTATAGTTTATTTCTCAGAACTTCAGTAGTGTAGTTATCGCCCGTATTTGTTTGTTTGCCAAATTGGCGTGCGTAACGTTTTGGTAACGCATGGATTCTCCAGCAATCAGTTAAATGCAAAGTGACGGTGACGTTGGATCACAGGTTGTGGAATCTACATTATGTGTAATAGTGTACCAATAACGGGAGCAGAGAGTAGTAATCTATTACAAAAGACAGCCACTAACACGTTTAAAGTATACGAATATGTATGTAAAATATAAGTCTTTACATTTGTGACATTCCCGGACAAGAGCATTGCACAGATACAGATAACTACTATAGAAGATCAGTTAATAACCAAGAGTTCCAGCCGGCAAGAACGAATTAAAAGTTGCAATTTGCAAAGTGAATGGATTAAATCAGATACATAACCTTGAAACTAAGTTCCTATTTAACAATCACGTTGCGCAAAGTCGAAAAACACTTAACATTATCACTGATAAAAAGGTAAAAATACAAAGTGAAGACGTTCTCAAGCACACCACAGGAGAGTGGATTCAGGGTCTACACTAGTGAAAGCACGGAATTTTAAGTGAAAGCTCTCCATCTTCTTATAAACATGGAGAGGATGGGAAGATGAAATTTTAGGATGATAGAATATTCGGATGTGGGAATAGCGCAGTATTTTCAGTGATAACAGATAACTAACTTAGCTATAAAAAAAATGGGAGCTAAGAATTTTAGCTGACATGTTATAAGTGTGTGTAATAATGAAGGTGACATGCTTTAAAAAAAAAAGTCATCTTTCAAGTCCAACTAAAATAGAAACAGGCTGTGAACTATGATAGAAATTTAACTGTGTACAAATTACCAAACATCTGGTAAGCTTTAATAAACACAAACTGCAGCTTTAATACATTAAACACTGTAACATCTGGTCAATTGAAGATGAGATGATTTGCACGTGCCTGTCTTGTATAAACAAAATGTTTGACACTTAAGCTTGTAAGAAAGGAGGTGTGTGTCTAAGGCTAAATGTGATTGGTAGATTCAAAAAGAATACTGTTATGCATTGGCTAATAATTTATAAATTGTTTTTATTGTAACTTCTAATGTTCCAGTGTCCTTTGCTAGATCGTTTTATTTATTAGATTCATTTTATATAAACAATGTCTGTGTGAATATGTTGCCTTTGTGTTAAAAATAAGTTTTTCTAACATTGAGGTACTTTTTTTTTATCAGCAAAGAGACAGTTATATACGTTCGTGCAAGCTGTTGCCTGACACCAGGACACTTGTCGTGGGAGGAGAGGCCAGCACAATATGTATCTGGGATTTAGGAGCAGTAAGTGTGTAGAATTTAAGACTGTACTAATACTTTACAAGTATGTATTGTTCTAAAGCAGGTCAGCACTAGCAGTGCCTGAAATTTGAGGCGTTGTTTAATATTGCTGTAAAGAGGATCTGCACTAGAAGTGTCTAAGATATGGGGCGTTGTTTGATATTGCTGTAAATAAAGACAGCACTAGAAGTGTCTGAGATATGGGGCGTTGTTTGATATTATTGTAAAGAAGGTTAGCACTAGAAGTGTCTGAGATTTAGGACGTTGTTTGATATTGTTGTAAAGAAGATCAGCACTAACAGTGCCTGACATTTGGGACGTTGTTTGATATTGTTATTAAGAAGGCAGCGCTAACAGTGTCTGAGATTTGAGGCGTTGTTTGATACTTTTGTAAAGAAGGTCAGCTGAAAACGGCTGAATAGATTTGGACAGAAGTTGGTATGAGTTTGGACTATGACCCAAATTAGAAGCGTTTAGTTTTTTTTGGTTAAGGTCACGAAAATATAAAAAAAATCGCTATATGTTAACATGAGGACCGATTTTTCACACTATTTTCCCTCTATAACCCAGCGAAAATGATCAGATTTTGATGAAACTTGACAGATTTTCGTGTTTTTTTTTGTTTTTTTTGTAGGGCTGAATATGATCAACGCTGCGTGGCGAAGATATGCTCTCGACTAAGTGTCCGTTCCTCTTGTTTATAGTTGTATCTGTATTCGGGATTTTGATGTGTAGGCTTTTTATATAATTGTATAAAGTGTGACATAAACTTGAACAATTGTAAGTTAATTTTTATGACTTCTTATACCATCAGGTAATGAATTCTTAGTACTCAGATACTGCTTTTTAGCATACCTGTGTACCTAACATAAATCTTGTTTTAACATACCTGTGTACCTAACATAAATCTTGTTTTAACATACCTGTGTACCTAACATAAATCTTGTTTTAACATACCTGTGTACCTAACATAAATCTTGTTTTAACATACCTGTGTACCTAACATAAATCTTGTTTTAGCATACCCGTGTACCTAACATAAATCTTGTTTTAACATACCTGTGTACCTAACATAAATCTTGTTTTAACATACCTGTGTACCTAACATAAATCTTGTTTTAACATACCTGTGTACCTAACATAAATCTTGTTTTAGCATACCTGTGTACCTAACATAAATCATGATTTTAGAAACACGTGTTTCCTGGTCTAATTTTTTGTGAAACAGAAGTAAGTCTGATTTCCATGTTTCTTCCTTGACTAATATATATAACACGTCACTTCCTTGCTATTATGAAGTCATTTTAATCAAGAAATATGCCACAACACATCACTTCCCTGCTATTATGGAGTCATTTTAATCAAGAAACATGCCATAAAAACCCTAATATATATATATATGTAACCACCATAAAAACTCTGGTGTATATAGGTTACTGTTACTGAGATTATAGATTGTGTTCTCATTAATAATATATCCTTCAGGATTCTAAACGTCACTATTCTATAAAATAATGCACCAAACTATATCTTTTGGTGGTATAACATTACAAAAACATTATAGTAACATCTAAATCAAATCTACATTAAGGTTCATATTGCATTATATTACGTTGTGCTAATATTAGTATATAATTAGAATTCAGTCCTTAACCGTTTTCTCTATAAGTTATTTTTAGATTAGTGGGTGGTATAATCAGTATTGTAAGGCCATGCCTCCTTAATCGTTTGATCATTAACTTGGTTTTTAGATATTTCCTTCTTAAAACAACAGGGTAAACATAGTTCCTATTAGGCCTGGGTAAACATAGTTCCTATTATGCCTGGGTAAACATAGTTCCTATTAGGCCTGGGTAAACATAGTTCCTATTATGCCTGGGTAAACATAGTTCCTATTAGGCCTGGGTAAACATAGTTCCTATTAGGCCAGGGTAAACATAGTTCCTATTAGGCCTGGGTAAACATAGTTCCTATTAGGCCAAGGTAAACATAGTTCCTATTAGGCCAGGGTAAACATAGTTCCTATTAGGCCTGGGTAAACATTGCTTTTATTAGGCCAGGGTAAACATAGTTCCTATTAGGCCTGGGTAAACATAGTTCCTATTAGGCCAGGGTAAACATAGTTCCTATTAGGCCTTCCAACGAGGTTTTTTAAGACAATATAACACTGACTATTTTACCTATTAATAAGACGTAATGAACTGTTTGCACTTCATCCAGCCCACCCCCCGGATTAAGGCCGAGCTAACTTCAAGTGCTCCAGCTTGCTATGCTCTCGCCATCAGTCCTGATGCCAAGGTGTGTTTCAGCTGTTGCAGTGATGGAAACATCGCTGTCTGGGACCTTCACAACCAGGCTTTAGTAAGGTGGGTTCTTAAATACTTTCACATTTCACTAATCCGAGTAGATTAACTAAACCGTCAAGTGACTTGAGCATATTGTGTAATTCAAGGTATACCATAAAATGAATTTAAAGTATTTTGACACTATTGCAATATGAAACGACTGATAAAGAAACGTTTTTTTTTTACACTGTATACTAGATGATCACAGATAAAATACAACTTGAGAATCAACAATGTTGTCTAAAACATAAAATTATATATTTAGCGATCATTTTCTTTTTCTATTCATTTAAGATTTTCATATGTCAAATAACTGACAGTTTAAAAACTTTAAATGGTTTATTACAGTACATTCTGGCTATTTCAGGCAATTCCAGGGCCACACTGATGGGGCTAGTTGCATAGACATATCTAGTGATGGAACTAAGCTGTGGACTGGTGGACTAGACAACACTGTAAGATCCTGGGATCTTAGAGAAGTAAGAACCTTTTCATTGGAGTCAATCATGACCTAGTGGTTAGAGGGCTGGGCTCCAAATTAAAAAATCCAGGGTTCGAGCCAAGATATGCCACTAAATATTCTCTGCACTTTCAGCTGTAATGGTTTATAAGTATGACAGTCAATCCCAATATTTGTTTAAAAGTAACCGTGTGTGTAGTACTACTGTTTGGTTGCTCTTCCGATGGTCAACAGTTCTAAATTTAGAAAGGCTATACCTGATCATTGGGACCTCTGAACCAGTCATTTAGCCTATGTGTTGAATAGGGTGTTATCTGTTCAAGTAAAAAATATCAAATACTTTTTTATTGTAGCATAAAATCTACGGTTTACAGTACTAAGACTCTGGGAAAAGTAAGTCACCTTTTAACTCTGCAATAATACTAAAAATCTGTAACATTAGAAATAACTTCTACTTCTGTGTGTGAATTATAATACTAAGGTGTTTGTACTGTAGAAAAATAAGCACGTTTATTCTCTATAAGGTAGGCTTAACACTAAAGTCTTTAGGAACTGTAAGAAGTAAGTGTTTTTAAATTCCACAGTGTATTTACGTAACTGCAAGACATTGTTACTATAAAAAATAAATAATTTTGAACCTATGACCCAAAAATCTTACATTGTTTAATGACTTGAAAGTAATGAGTACCTTAATGTGTGACCCGATTCATGAAGTAATATGTAATACTTTAATGTCAAATGCATGTAAATAAATGTATAAGTTCCTAAAAACCTTAAGTTATATTTTCATATAACACCTAATGACTTGGGTTTTTAGGACTCCATGACAATAAGAAGCCCCCCAGTTAGTAGTTGCCCCCCCCCCCCCAGTGGAACAGCGGTATGTCTGCGGACTTAACGCTAGAATTCTTGTGTCAATACCCTGGTGGGCAGAGCACAGATAGCCTCTTTGTGTAGCTTTGTGCTTAACTACAAACAGACAATAACGAAACTAAATTTTAGAAGCATTAAAATAAATAATTATTTAAAGGTTCTTGGTCCATGGCAGGATAAATTTTGTTTTGTATCTAGGTAAAATTTCAGTATCATGAGTTTTCATGTTTTTCGTTGTTTTAATATAATATCTATATGTGACACTCAGATTGCATCTTCATTATAGGGTCGCCAGCTACAGCAACATGACTTTACATCACAAATATTTTCCTTGGGCTACTGCCCGACTGGAGACTGGCTCGCTGTGGGGTATGTTTAGCCTTAAATACTGGCCCTAATTTCTTCTTGAAAATGTACTGGTCTAAAAAATAATAAGAATTTGTAAAGAAATTTGTTATTATGATTTATAGTCTGTATTACTAACTAGAAACACATTATGTAAAACAATAATTTAAGTTTAAATAGAATAATGTCAAGTTTTATGTCATAGTCCATGACATCTAACATTTCAAATTAAAGTACAAATCCCCAGTGAACTGTTATATATAGATGTTCACACACTTAATGGACTTTGTCATATTTTAATAATATTCGACACTTCTAGTAGGGTATGTCATGTCTTAAACAACGGTGCATAATATAGGTGGATATATCGTGTATCAACTTAATAATAGCCAAAATGTAGTGGGATATTAATTGGTCTAACTACATTTATCCCAGACCTCAACTTCTGAATGAGGAAACTGAGGCCTGAGATGAATATCGTTGGAACAGCTAGTAACCTGCTTTTAGTAGTGTGAAAAGCTGTTATTTGATTACTGGGATATGTCTTGTGTTGAACAATAACTCACACTTATCATGTTATATGTCATGTGAATAACTCACTTTTCTAGGGATATGTCCAGTGTTAAACTAAAACTCATAAATTTAGTGGGATATGTCCAGTGTTAAACTAAAACTCACAAATCTAGTGGGATATGTCCAGTGTTAAACTAAAACTCACAAATTTAGTGGGATATGTCTTGTGTTGAACAATAACTCACACTTATCATGTTATATGTCTAACAATAACTCACACTTATCATGTTATATGTCTTGTGTTGAACAATAACTCACACTTATCATGTTATATGTCTAACAATAACTCACACTTATCATGTTATATGTCTTGTGTTGAACAATAACTCACA